GGTAGTAGGTAGTAGGTAGTAGGTAGTAGGTAGTAGGTAGTAGGTAGTAGGTAGTTAGTAGGTAGTAGGTAGTAGGTAGTAGGTAGTAGTAGTCACAACAAGTTTAAACAAGCACAAAGAAAAGGCCAGGGACACAGGATCAAATTAATAGGGGGTAGTAGTGCAGATTATTGATGGGGGACCGGCCCTTGTGAGGGGTACCCTTTGTGAGCTTGTCAAATGATTGTTTTTAATTGTTTTTTAATAAGGCAATTTATAGGCCCTGAGCCCTAGACATTTTTAAGGATTTCATCAAACATGTATATAGTAGGTAGTAGGTGGTGATGGTGGTGGTGGTAGCAGTAGCAGTAGCAGTAGCAGTAGCAGTAGCAGTAGCAGTAGTAGTAGTAGCAGCAGCAGCAGCAATAGCTAGTAGCAGCAGCAGCAGCAATAGCTAGCAGCGGTAGCAGTAGCAGTAGCAGTAGCAGCAGCAGCAGTAGCAGTAGCAGCAGCAGTAGCAGCAGCAGTAGCAGTAGCAGCAGCAGCAGCAGCAGTAGTAGTAATAAGAAAAATTGACCTGGTTGTGGGCTCGGATTAACTGGGGGGGATTGTTGGTAGAAAACTAGACCATAGGGGGGAATCAACAGCCAATAATACTTTTAATTTGGGCAATTTCCGGCGGCTTTGTGGGCTCGGATTAACTAGGGGGGATTTATTAATCCTGACTTTGCATTATCACGGCAGAGTCTCAACTCTGTTCTGCACGCTGCTCATTGCAAAAAACCCAGGCCGCCGGACCCCTTGGCATCGTTAAAACGGACACGTCGCTGGGCTAGGAAGGCCTCAGCACAGCACAAAGCTCTCTCTCTCTCTATCTCTGTCTCTCTTTCTCCATTCAAGTGGCTTGGGGGGGAGGTGGAGGGTTTAGGTCAGTGCCTACATCACCAGAAAGCCATCTCAACCCTTTTTTGCTCCTCTTTTTGGTCGACCAAGTCGTGCGGTTTCTATTCCAAAACAGATGTCAGTCACGCTCTGGGTGTTTCTTGGTTGACCTCTGGTGAATTGGGAGCCAGTCTCTTTGCTCGCTTTGCAAGTTTTGCTCGGTCAAGAGTTGGGAGACATGTGGAGCTTGCCGTCGAAATGACTTGTCAACATGAACCCACACGGCTCCGTGGGTTAAGGTGTCTCGAACATCTCAAAACAGCAACCAACCAACAGAATTGATCGATCGCACATGTTTGCCACTCGAAATGCTTCAGTTGGCCTCATTCCTGCTGTGCCAGTGGCTGACAATCCACGGGCCATAAAGAAGTCAAAGGCCGAGCATTGCCGAGGCCTAGCATGAACGGGATTGAGGAGGGTGATTAATCATCTTGCGGCCCAATATCACGGACAATGGGTCGCGACTCAATGTGAACACCAATATTCTTGCAAGACTTTGTTTGTAGACATGGCATCAATAGAAAACCAGCATCACCCAAAAAATGGTTAATAGATGGAAAATCATAGTCAGGGAATGTTAGGGGGTTCTTCCAGCACCACCCTTTGGGTGGTGCTGCAAGAGTTTTGCAGTTCTTGATGCCATCACCGTCGCTGGACCACGAGGCCGGAAGCAAAACGATGACAAGGGGTGAGTAGCCACCAACCATCATGGAAGTGGCGGAGGTGGCAACCTCTTTAGTGTAGATTCAAGCAGTCTTCAAAAGGGTAACCTGACAGATTGTTAGATTAAGGATACAATTGCAAACCATGCAACACAGTTCACCTTCTCATCGTTTCAGTCGCGTTATGATCTATTTGTGTGTGCTTTTTAGTGGTAGAAGGACCACATGTGTTGCAAAACTGGTGCTTTTCGCTGTTCCATGTTGATTCATGCAGCTCAAAATATGAAAACAACATTTGTCTGCCACAAATACTACCCATGTGGTTGCGGTCGACGTGCATAGAGAGCCACGGGCGCTTTACATGTGGCAGTTGCAATGGGACTCCGAACACATCCACTGTGGTGTTTCGATATGTTTCGACCAATCCAGCTACGGCTAGCGCATGCCACCAACGTGTTTAGCACGGCACTCAGGCCATGTGCTTCGTAAGCATCTTGTGCAGAACTGCCGGAAATGAGAGGAAAGAGAGCGAAGACAGCATCGCATGCCACGAACATTTTTGCCAGCATTCGTGTTCATTCGCCTTAAACATTGGTAGCAAAGATTCTCGAGTTGCTTCTTTCGCAACAACACGAAACGCAAAGCTCTAGACGAAACGCCAAGCTCTCTCTCGTCTCCCCTGCCTGTCGGCTTGGCCCTTTTGTTCACCCCTCTTAGGATCCAACAAAGACAGATCCAAAGAGTGATTGAAAAAGAATTAGAAACAATGTTCGCTACTAGGAACAAGTGCCTTACTAGTAGTAACAAGAAGCTATTAGAAACAATAAATATAACTTAATTAGAACTAAACCTCAAAGGTTCCAACTAATCAGGAACAATAAGCGGCTAGTAGTAACAAGTGCATCGCTACTAGTAACAAGTGCCTTACTACTAGGACCTAGGAACAAGCAGCTATTAGAAACAATAAGCTATATTAAGTTTCAATGGACAGTAGGACTTGGCATCCCTGACCCGGTTTTGATGTTCCTGTGTCGCCCACGACGACCGGTCGACGCAGACCGGTCTGACCTCAAAGGATCCGATTCGGTTTGCAGCTCGGTCGGCCATGTTCACCGATTCATTGCGAGTGGAGACCGGAGAGTGGAGAGAGATAGAGATACAGTGCTTATGTTGGATTTTGGCCGTCGTCCAGGAACCTGGAAAAGACTATTCCCCAGAAGGAGACTATAGATAAAGTTAAAAAACCTTTCCAAACCAGGTTATAAGACCAAGGTCACCACCCCGCTGACCATTCCATATAGGTCATGTGAACTGAAATCCGACTCAATTGAGCTGTGGCCACTTGACCAAAAAAAGAACACCCATCCCACAACTAGGGTGGTTGTGATCACCACTTCCGCAAATGTTTGAATGTTGTTTTTTGCGGTCGCAGCTCAAGTCCTTTTGGGATGTCCCAATAAGTCTTGCTCAAGACAGTGACGCATTTTCGATGACGCTTCGACCGAGCAGGGCACATGTTTCGTGGCCTGGTGCATCTCCAGGGGTAGTCCGCCAAAGCCAGGCAATAGGCAAAGACCTGGGCGCGGTTTCGCCTCGCGTCCGAGGACGTCCTCGCGGCCGGCGTTGTTCAACGTCTGGTCTTCGGCCCCTCTCTTCCGGGTCGGCATTGGACCAAACGGGGCAAGAGGATCTTCATCACGAGTGAGCCAGGTTTGAAAATGATCCCCGTGGGATCAGAACTGATCATTGAGTATAGGACCATCCAAGGGGTGTCCAATGGACTACCCCACACTACCTATAGGCTTCCATTAGGCACCCCTTGGATGGCAGGTACATATTTCCAATATATATATATATATATATGTAAACCAGAATTGAAAACGAGTGAGACGGAATTCCAAACAATGGTCCAGGGCTTTTTGTGGCGCTCGCAAAGGCAATGCTTTCGGGCAGAACTAGCAGCACACAAAAAGAGCCTAGTGTTTCTGCCAAGAAATGCAAGAGAAAATGTGAAGAAATATAGTCTTCTGGGTTAGCAAGGTGTGTTGCAAAGTCCTTCGGATTAAATACTGAAATGGGCTCATATGCGCAAAAAAGCAGGTCCTCTGGACAAACTAAAGTCTGTTCTGTTCCTAGAATTGACCCATGGGTTATTTTGAAAGGTGTTTGAACTCAATACCCTATTCAATCCAGCGCCAAAAGGTTTGCTTCCTTGATTCCTTCCTTCCTTGCTTCCTTTCTTCCTCGTTTTCCTCCCTGCTTTCTTTCCTCCTTCCCTCCCTCCCTCCTTCCTTCATAATAACCTTTATTGCTCCTGATAATAGCTTGTTTGATACCCATGCCCAACAAGCTACCTGAGTGTTCTGTTCCGTTTAACTGATCCCTCAGTTTCCCTGTAGAACGGCTGTGATATGTGATATCAAAGACGATCAAAGTACAAATTAAACATTCCAACATGCAGCTGTTCTTGTTCAGTATCCTACCAACCCTGACCCCAAAACCCTTGACGAACCTCCGTCGGAACAACTTCTGCGCAGCTTTGGGCCGCAATGACTACTTTGTTCGATGAGAATAGCCATCCACTTCGGTCACTGTGATTTTTACTGCTTTTTCTAAACTCGATGACACAAATAGGTCCATGTCGCACTGTTCGCAAGCCGGAGGGTATCTGTTCGGCTCGCAGAACAGTTGCGAGACATGGCAACTTCTTGTGACCATGAGAAGGGCATACCCTTGGGATAAGCCTGTAATCATGCTGGGTCAGCGGGATGCAGGGTTCACGTGGAGTGGATGAACTGCGCCACTCCTTGGCAAAACTATATATATATATGTCTTCAAATCCCCACCTGGGTGGGAACCCTGCCGGTGCCATGAGCTTTCATGGGCTCTTGACTCTTGACCTCCAAAGTTCAGGAACGGCACATATCCAAAGTTTGTGTCAAGAGTTTTCAAAGCCGGAAACGCCAATCCCTTCTGTTTGTGATGTTTGTAAACTGTTTGTACTAAAGAACCATCCCAAAGCTCATTGGTGGCACCAAGATGACTTGTATTCACCACCCAACACCTGGCTGTAGGCCATCAAAAGTTCGCCAGCATGAACCGGCACATGTGGGATCCATACGTGGCATCCACTAGTCCCGTCTGACCCCGTCTGAATCGTCCACGCGACGCCACACGCGAAGAGATCCGCCGCCCGTGGGTCGTAGGCCCGCGTCGTCCTCGGGAGGCGTGGTCGTGGGTCGTGGGATGTCATGGACCCGATGGGGTCGGAGTCAGACTCTGCCTCACCCCCAAACCTGTTCATTCTGCAGCATGTGACTAAGACGAATCATGTCGAGATGTTTTGGCCCGAAGTGAAGAACTGTTTTTTGGGGTTTTTCATGTGCCCATCGAGACCTTTTTTAAAGCCAGGGGGGGTAGGCCGTGGAGGTGAGGTAGGTGGTAGCAAGGTATGTAGCTAGTGGGAGCTAGTACCTACAAGTATAAGCACAGTAAGCTACTACATATGGACGCAGGATGGCTCACGCTTCCTCGAAGAGGCGCTCGCACCATGCATTTTGGCTCCTAGATGTTTAGGGAAACTTGACTTAACAACACTGACGTTCCTGGGTTTCAACCGGGGCAGCTGTTCAGTCGAGTATGACCAGAACTCTCAAGGCTGCCACATTGAATCAAATACAGTTTTGTTGTTTTTTTTTTGAAGGTGGGGTGCCTCCAGCCAGGTGATTTGATGATTTTTGCATGGATTGCTCACTTGGGATATGAGACGTGATCAATTTCTTCGTCCAAGGACTCTGCGTCATGAAAGGATCCAAATATGCGGGCCGAAATGGATACAGAGGTCATCTGAGTCACCGGGCCCAAGGTCGACAAACAAAGAAAAAAACACGACAAACAACAAACAAAGCAGCTACAATTCGTTCATATGCCACCGGCACCACTATCACAGCATATCACAACATATCACAACCCCACAAGAAAAACACATTTTGCTGTGGGTCATGGCACCAGGATACCTTTGTTGACCTGGTGTCGGTCTTTCACTCGCAAAAACCAGGTGGACCAGACCCGGGCTGATCGGTTTGTTGACCCATCCCCATTTCACCAAACACTTGTGCTGCTGGACAGACTTCGTGCTGGGCACCGCGGTCGGAGCTGGGCGCGCCCGACTGATGCATTTCAGGCGCCTGCGACTGACTGATGCGGTCCGACGCATGGGCGGTCGACAATGGCACAATGTCTTCATGGGAAAAAGAGTACACAAGCAAAGACTTGCTTAGCAAGTGTCTGAGGAACTGCAAGAGGAATGACTTTCAACCTTGAGATGGTGTGTTTGGACCCAGAATTGGTGTTGGACCAACATCGATGTTGCTTTGTCTTGGGTTTGGGTTGACCTGAGTGGCACCCATGTGCATGGGGTCTTATGGGATTCTAACGGGATCCTAGGAATTTCAGGCTTACTCTGGGCTCTGGGTTGGCTTTTGGGTCTAACAGCAGGTAAGCTGCTTGTAATATGGATTAATCAAAGAAGGCTTGACAGCAACAATTACTGACGCAACATATGTGCGTAGGAAACCTGCACGAAGCATGGACATGCTATGACATGCTGTAGGAAGGGTGCTCTTTGGATTCTCAATTCGTTCCCGGAATTCGTTCGGTGGAGCCGGCTGTGGCTCCGGTCACTTTGTAGTAAAGCCAAACGAGAACGCGGCTTGGCCAAAAGCTGTGGCTCCAAACGTCAGATGTCCGTTTTGGATGCTCTCCGGCATGGAACCGGATGCTCCCTGTGACGTCTTTGGGATGCTCGGTAGAGGAAAACAACATGGGCAACACAAAAACAAGCCGTCGACCTCCAAAAGCCTTTCGAATAGGTTCGAACCTGTTTGGGACTGGCAAACTCTATGCTTGTTCCTTTTTGCCCCCTCAAAGAAGAAGCCGCTGAGTTCTCACCCAACGCGAGTAACCACAGCCTGGTAGGAGGGCTTCCCGCGGCTTCCAAGCACAGTGCTCTCCGTGACCTGCTTCTTGCGCTGGGTACATCAAGCTGAATCATCCCACCACACCACGAAATCCACCGGATGGTGATGATCTAAACAAAACGACCGAGAAGGCGAGAAGCCCGGATCCAGGACGAAGCCGGTTCCGGGATTCAGTTCATGTCGGGGTCTGTTAACGGATCGATCATCTCTTTTTGCGCCATGCAAACAACTTCCAGGATTCACGCAACGCCCCCCCCCAAAAAAAAAGGAAGTGCTGCACACAGCTGAAAGCAGTATGACTAAGTTGACTTGTTGTCCCTTGTCTTACTAAGACATCTAAATCAATTAGACTGAAATTAGGCAATCAGATACTCCCCACAAAAACTAACATCACTATACTCCCCATATTAGGCAATCAGATACTCCCCTGTAATAAATCAATTAACAACACGATCAACACCTCTCACTCCAATGGGTCGCACGAGAATCTCGCAAAGGGCTCCCGTGCAGCTGCGGCAAAGTCCACCAAGCGCACCTCAAGTGGGTCAGCGACAGGAAGGCAATGGCGAGGCCGTTTTGCATGGGCGTTTTAAGACTTATATAATAGTCTTAAATAGGATTCAATAAATCACTCAAGCACAGTATAGAATATTAATCATGATACCTTATCATGGTTTATTTGACATCGACTGCTTGAGACACCTTGAGACTGCTTGAAACTCCATGCAAACTTCCGATCGTGTTTCAAGTTCGGTTGACAGTCATAGGGCTGTGGGTCATGGCACCAGGATACCGACCGACATGACCTACCTGGTGTTGGTCAAACTCGCTACGTGGTGGAGCGGACCCGGGCTCCAGGTTTGTTGAGCCATCCCTATATAGGATTACTAAGTCATGCTCATGTCAGTTCGAGACGAAGGCTTCCAGGCCTTTCAGCCTGAATTGAGGATTAATTACTCAACTCTGTTCCAAAAAGAAAGGGTACCCCCAGCCCACCCGGCGGTTGCCGCCGGGCCAACCGGGTGGGCTCTCCACCCCCCAGAAAGCCTCTCCATCTTGGCCCAACAAGGCGTTTTCCAAGGAGATGTCACCATGGGCCACCTCAGCAGCTATGGCCGGCCGGGTTGGGACTTTGGGAAAATCTGAGTGCTGTTTGTTTCTTCTTTGGCGGAAAGCAACACCAAAATGTTAATAGCTCCCACAAACAACCAGTGGTGTTGTATCGGAACACAAACAAGACATATCATCTAAGAAAGTTTGCCCCCAACTCATCTGGTCGTCATATTGCGACGCCACGACCCACTTGTAGAAATGGTCCAATTCGGGCGACCAAATCCAGCACCATTGGGGGTTCTTTAAGCCCTGTGATCGCACGTCAACCATTGGATGTCCACATGCCGGGTGAAATGGGAATGGTTCAAAATCATCCACGCGCCAAGTACGTAGCCCCCAAATCCAAGCCACTCTCCAAGCCCTATAAGGAATCCAGCAGTGCCTTTCACAAGGTGATTGGGGTCTGAAGCATTCCGAGTTTTGAAAAAAAGGGATGCCGCTCGAAAATGTCTCCCAAAGTCGGACAAAAGAGCTATAACAGGTCAGGAACTGTCGCAAGTCCAAGGATGGTTTCCCTACGGGACGGGAGCTGACCTTATTTTTCTGAAGCTGATCATATAAAACACTACTCAATGAGGTAAAGGACCAGGTTGTACTGGGGACCTGTAGGGTTCACAGTTCACGTTAAAAGACACAACATGTGTCCTCACGATCTGCATAGCCTCTGAGAAAAGCAAGTGTTCCACTTATAAAGCTAATATTTAAGCAACGCAACACAAGAAAACATCGCAACAACAATTGCACCCAAAGAAAGACGGTAGGAACCCGACTAAACCGATCAAGGAATCCGAAAGAGTTGCGAACTTGAGTTCCCTGACTCCAAAATGATGGAGCGAACGCACCTCGCTGCCGGCGCTCTCAGCTAGCGCTCTTTTGGTGTCGCCGACCATGATGGATGGCAAGTATATCATAGTATCTCATATCCATTCATATCCTAAAGAATCCTTGGGTCCTTGGACCCAACCTCTTGACACCAACATGAAAAAACACCTGATGTATCTGGATGCCCTATCTTGATGCTTCCAGACTCCCGCTCGTTTGGATGAGAAACATGGGGACCCGTTTGAGGGCAGCGGGACCGGACTGGACACCGAAACGCATGGGGAAAACGGACCCTCAAAGCCCTTTACATGTCAGGTCTACTCAATTCTTAGGGTCGACAAATGCAGATTTCTGGACATTCCAGGTGCTAATCGCCACAAATCTTCCCGTTTTCTGTTCATCTTTAGGGAGACCAATACCCCCAAAACCAACAGCGGTTGAAGGACCCTAGCTAGTTCGACTATCCCAGTTGGGGAGAAGCCAGGTGACGGTTCTTTTTTGGGTCACTGAACCTCGCTTGGAAGGGCTTAGGTCTAGGTTCTCCACTGCCTGCAGGTAGTATTTCACTGGGGAGGTCTTTGGTTTGAAACAAGTGGCTGATCAACGGAGTGTTGAGCCCTTGAAGCTCGGTCGAAAATCTGATCCGCTGGAAACAAACAAGACTTGGCTTGGTGCAAAACACAAGTCAGACTTGATGCTGGCCTTCTCAGAAATCCTCACTTGGCCTCAAATCCACCGAACATTGGAACTCCTTCTGCGCGTCCTTCATCGATTCAATCACGTCCAGTCTGGACCCCCGAGCTGCTCGGAGCAAGGACAAGATCACTGGCCACGCCTGGAAGGAGCGGAACTGGGAAAAAGACACACAAATAGGAGGACCCTGACGGACCCTGGCTGGGTAGACTGGTCGAGTCTACCAAACCCGAGTCAAACGCCTCGACATGCCTCGACGTCGGAGGTGGTCGTTTGGTCAGACCCGATCGGGACGAAGAAGGCAACTGCAGCCGAAGTCGAATGGGTCGTGATCACACAGGAAACCACAAACCATGGGCTGGGCTCACCGTGGAACCATCCTTTGGGGGCAAAACCCAAACATGGTCGCATGACTCTATCGACTACTCTATCGACATGTGTCCAAACCTCATTTGGACCATGTACAGGCACACATTTGCTGGTTCTAAGTGATACATCTTGAACATGTACGTGCAAGCTCCAACCCAAACATTCCCTGTACGGAAGATATACCCTCGAAACTACCCTAGAAGTCCAAAGACTATATACTTGACCACCGAGGTAAGGGAAGTTCCTTTTCGGGTCATCTTTCAAGTGCATGTCACAAATAGTTTTGGATTCCCAGGGAACAGCTACAAGATGCTACAAGCCAAAAGCCCCAGGTCAACCACCCCTGGCCTGTTTTCGTTGAATATTCCATATATTGCTTGCTACCTTCAAAGAACGGGCACATGGCGAAAACACCACACCCCGGACTGATGGTCGACCTTGGCTGAAACGATCCCCCCAAAACGCCCCGGTGGGTCACCGCACCGGGCGGGAACGCCCGCCTTGGCCTCTCGCTCCAGGCCCGGCTCCGTGGGGCATCGCCCCACCAAGTCGTGGAGATCGCCGCCCGGGACGTACTGGGGAAAAAGCGGAAGAGAATTCAACCGGAACCGGTGAGGCGGAGAAAGGAAAGAAGAAAGGCCGAGAACCGGGAGATCCGGGAGATGTGACACTGCAGTGAAATTCATAGGAATTTGGTATCCTACAGTGACACTGCAGTGTCCTATATGAATCTGTTCATTCCTTAACCATATCCAGTCGCCTGTGACGAGAAATGCATCCGTGAGTTCGAAACCTCATGAAGGGAATGGATCTTTGGTGATTGTTCATGATTGCTCTATCGACCGCTACTAGGGGCTCCTGGCCATACTACTAGGAGCAAATAGCTACTAGTAACAAGAAGCTACTAGTTACTAGGGGCTCCTGGCCATACTACTAGGAGCAAATAGCTACTAGGAACAAGAAACTAATTGTTTTCAGATTGCTTGGCTGCAAAAGAATGTTTGGAAAGTCAGGAAACAACATAGAACCACCTGTCGGGTGGCAAGTGTTCGCTACGGTACGGTACCGTCACTGACAACTCCAAAATAGCCCAACAACACCTCAGAAGTGTATCTGGAAGATCATGAAATGGCCCGCAAACAACCAAAGGACGACACAAATCTGACCTCAGTGGGGATCCCTTTTATAGATCCCACTGCTTATGGATCCCTTTTACAAGCACCCAACCAGCGCTGGCCAAGCATGCTTCTTTCGGGATCGAACTGATCGAGGATCGTTCAGAGGCCGTTGAGCCCGTTGAGCCCCAGGAAGACAGCCACGTCATCCATTTCGTTGCTTCAAAGATCTTCAAAGGTTGATGCAAAGGGAACGCAAAAAGTGGAGACTGACTGAAAATGGCTCCTGTGTTCCCAGCTTTGTAGGACTTGAAAAATAGGCTTGCGAAAACCATAAAACACAAAAAAGACAAGGCCGACATGTCGGCTAAGACTGAACACCGGACAAT